AGCATCTCTACCTGCCACCTTTGCCTGTCTCATGCTGTGTGCAGCTAACACAGGAACTATTCCTTCCGTGCACTTTTTCAGCCCCAAAACTTGCCAGTTCCTCTCTCCCCCATCAGCGCTGCCAGAGCTGAGGAGATATTTTTAAGCACCCAAAAACAACTAAACACAATCCTGCCAGGAAAACATCCCCCACTACCCCTCTCCACCTCAAAGCCCATCAAACTACACAGTAAGAAACATGGATCAGGATCTCAGTGTGGAAAACATCCCCAGGGGAGGGCAGGTAACAGCTCCCCACTATAAAGAGCAGCTCCTTGGAGAGGCTCCAACCCTGACAGCAACAGGGACACACAGACCCACCTCTGCCCTCTGTGAGTGCAAAGCTGGAGCATCACCTGGAGCACTGTTCCTTCAGCTGGACATTATCAAATGACATGGACAAAATCAGGCCGGGCAAGTTGAAATTTTTATGTAATATAATTCTTACATAATTTAATTCATTGTTAATTAACACCAACTTCCAAGTCAGGTGCTGAGAAAACAGACAGTGGAACCCTAAAGGTTCCACCTTGCCTGCCTGCTCCCTGCTCACCACGAGCCAACCCCCTCTCATCCTTGTTTCCCAAGCTGAGCTTCCCTGGGTTTCACCAAGCTCACCCCAAGACAGGGAAAAACTCGTCTCCTGGAGCCCACTGAGGACACAAAATCTTTACCCCCCAAGTTTTCAGGGCTCATCAGCTCTGCTGCTTCCAAGGCTGAAGGTCTCCCCCAGGAGAAGGATGCAGGATCCAAACCCAGGCACAAGTCTCTTCCTCCTCTTCCTCCATCCCAAAGACCTCCTTTTCCCTAACTAGGCAGTGATCCCAAAGGGAGCACATCAAAGCCCCTCTGTGGGGCTCTGGGAAGCACAGAGGAGGGGAGGGAGACCTTTGGCAGGTCTCAAAGAGGGAACAGGCATCGACCTCCTGGAGCCAGGTGAGTGGATCTATCCCAGAACAGTCCTGGGCCAACAGAGGAAGCCACTGAATCAGCCCCTGAGTTCCCACCTAGAGGAGAAAATGCCTTTCAAAACCCACCCCTGGACAGAAGTTATGATTTTATAATGATTTTTAATTGGGATTTTTTTTTAATTAATTGGTTACTGTTGCAGGTCACCACTTGGGTGATAGGACTGGCATTCTCAGGGAGTTCTGCTTGCCCCCCCTGCATCCTGCTGAGACCAATTCCAAGGGTGTCCTTGAGAAATTCTCCTAAACCCGTGAGCTCTGTCAGATGACAGCAGACCCTCGTCCTCCCAGAATCACTGCAGGCACCCAGGATCCCAGCCCAGGGCTCTGCCAGCCCAGCTCCCTGGCTGAAAACAGCAGCCTGGGAAGGTGCCAGCCCGCTCCCGAGAATTTCAGCTTGCCCTGGAGCCTCCCTGGCACACTCAGAGCAGAGCAGAGCCATTTTCTCAGCTCAGTTACAACACAACAGCTTTCCATGATGTTCTGATCCACTTTCAAAAGCTGCAGGAACCCAAAATCAATTGTCCAGACCTTTCAGCTTATAAATACTTTAATAAGAGAAGAGCTATTTCATATAACCTGCCTTTTCCTTTCATTTCTCCTCCATGCCAGAGCAGATCCTCTCTGCCCTTCCTACCAACACACAGCTGGGCATGAGCACCTCGGGGCTGGCACAGTGAGGTAACACAAAGAACAACCCCCCAAACCTCAGCAGGCCCCTCAGCCCCCCTGTGGTTCCCCCACAGGCACCTGCAGAGAAATCCCCTTATCCCCTATCCCTGCGATGCTCCAGGCCCTCATCCCACATGGAGCAGTGCAGCTCCGGAGCCCGTCAGATGCACTTTTTGGTTCATCCATCACCGCTCCTGCTGGATGGAGAAAAGTTGCTGCAAATAAATCACCTGTTCTCCTGGGCTTGGCTCGGCTTGCCAGTCCCTGCCCCAGGGACTGTCACACCTTGTCACCCTGGGGCCTCCCAGCCCTGGGACCAACTGTCCTGTTGATTTAACAACACCAGGCTGCTGTGCCACAGCTCCAGAGTGGAGCATTTGCCCTCCTGCCAGGCACAGTGGGCATGGCTCGGGCTGGAGAAGCCTCCAGCTGAGAGAACACAAATCCCAGCACAGCTCTGTGCCACAGGTGGTGGCAGAGCAGGAGGGAACATCGAAGGCAGCATGAATGCCCAAAAGCACCTGGATGAGGTGATGCTTTTGCTGGGCTCCTCCTCTATCCACAAACTGTCCAGCCCAGCAGACTTACTCACCCCACCTCGTTCGCATTGCTTTATCCGGAGGCGTCGTTCGAAAATGCAGCATTATTTAAAACCATAACTGCACACCTGCTGATTCCTGTTAGGTCCTATGAGAATGCGTGGGACCACTATATTTAGAATTTAATAACTCCAGTCAGTGCATCCTCTCCACTGAGCACCGTCCTACGTCTGTTCCCTGTGGTCCCAGGGGATCACACAGCTTTGGGAAGGGCAGTGGGAGCCCGGCTACCCCGAGCAAGACCAGGGCAGGGCTGCAGTCAGGGCTGTTGGACATCACCCTGCTGAGCCTGGGGTGCAGGATCTCTGGTGCATCCATGCACTTGGAAATATGGGAGCTGAGCATTTTATTTCCATGCTTGATTTGCCCACATTGGAGTGAAGAAATGAAATAAAAGCAGAAAGTTGCTCAACAGAGCTGGAAAAAGCACCATGTAGAGCAAGGACAGGGTCAGCCATGGCAGCAGCTGCCTTGTGTTGGCTTTTGGATCACAGCTGTGAAGATTTCCTGGGGCTTCTCAATGTAAGACATTTTGGGGGGGAAAAACCAAGCAGAAGCTCAAATAGCTGGGGTGAAAAGTGACAGTGATTTCAAATCATCCCACACTTCAGTCAACACTTCTTTTTACTTCCATAATCAACCGTGAGCAATCAAGGGAATGGGCTTGGTATCCATAGGGGCACTCGAGCCCTGTCCCTGGGGGAGGCGGGGACACCAGGAACACTGTCCACACACTCAGATCCAGCCTGGAGGAACTGCCCTGGAGCACCTGCACAGCCCAGGAGACAAAACAGGGCTGCAGCTCGAGGTTGGCTGCACCAGAGCACCGAGGAACGGGGAGAAACGTCGGCTGGGGGGAGCTCCTCCTCCAGCCCCACACAGGGCACGGCTGGTGCACAGTGAGCCACATTCCTGCGTGAGGGGAGAACTCAGACACCGATGGTTTGGGTTGGAAGGGACCTTAAAGCCCATCTCGTTCCACCTTCCTGACAGGCAGGAACGTGGAATCACAGAATCAGCCGAGTTGGAAGGGACCCACAAGGATCATCGAGTCTAACCCCTGGCCCTGCTCAGGACCATCCACAAGAGTCACACCATGCACCTGAGACCTTCCACTAGAAGGCTGCTCACATCCATAGCCAGTACATCCCCATGGAAAATTTGGTACATGAGCTACATGCCAGCAAAGCCACTTTTTAGCTCACATCTCAGAGTTCAGAAAGCACCACGACATCTCTCATTATGTAGGAAACCACCCAACTCTCCCCAGAATCCAAGGTCCAGGACTGTAGCACCCTGTGCATGGGGGACTGACAGGCTGTGAAGCCCTGGGAACATCTCCTCATCTCCCTCGGGCCAGAGATGTGGCACATGCTCGGCTGCACACCAGCAAACCCCCGGGACTTGCCCTGCTCGGTTGCACCCAGAGAACTCACCTTCCTCACACCAGCTCGGCACCAGCACAGCAAAAACCTCAGGACAGAAACCAGGGTTTCAAACCAGGGTTTCTGTCCACAAAGGCAAAAAGGAGCAGAACAAAGCTCCTGGCTCAGCCCCGAATGTTTCTGCGTTTCCGGAGAAACGCGTGAGCGGGGAAGAGGCGACGCTCCTTCAGCTCCGAGGGAAGAGGGCAGACAGCAATGCCTCAGCACGTCCCACTGTCTCAGCAGCAGCACGGACAGCAGCAGGAGGGGCCCCAACTTCTTTTTATTCTGTAGATACTTTAATAACCTTTCCAGAGTATAAGGCACTTAACAACCAGGGAAGAAGGTGAATGGATTCCTTGGTGCTATTTTTCGCCCTGTGTGTCTCTACATAGACCCACAACCCTCCAGAAGCACCCTGTGCAGGTCAGCAGGAGGGTTTGGGGACACACACTGCTCAGGCTGAGCCCACACGGAGGGGGAAAAGCCCAGAGCAGCACCAAGTGATAGTTGTGTCCTACAGGCTGCTTGTAACACCCAAGGAGAAGCCAACTAGGCACAGAGCAATTTTCTTAATTGCAGTAACTGCGTTTACATGCAAAACAAGGACGTGTGCACCCCCCACACACAATGGCCCTGAGCACTCCAGCGGCAGCACGATCCCAGGGGATTTCCAGTCAGCCCACTGCTCCCCATCCCCAGTGTGATCCCCTCCTCAATCCACACACCAAACAAGCTGACAGTGATCCATGTGTCCGTCTGAGCTCCCCTCGACACTGTACCCTGTCCCTGAGCACAACTCAGACCCTCCCCACCCCTCCTATATGCCAGGAGGCTCAGCCAGCACCTCATACACACAGGTTCAACTTCACCCGAGAAGGTGCAGCTGAGGATTTTGCATAGGGCAGAGGGAGGGAAGGGTGATTTTGGTGCAATAACCTCACTCTTCTAACGTGGAGACACAGCAGCATGACACAGAGAGCACCAGACAGAGGCAGGGACAGCTGCACGTGGTCACCCAGCAGACACCTGAGATGTGACACAGACACCTGGGACGTGCCCTGGGCAGGGTTGCCAGGTCACAGAGCCTGCTGGAGACATCCTGCAGCAACGAGCCACTTGGGAGCCCCAGGCAGGAAAGGGTGATGCTTCCAGAGCCCTTGGCTTGCTCCCAGCCCCCTCTGCAGCCCCAGGAGAGGTCAAACGGGAAGCAAAGCACCAAGGCTTGCACCTCCCACCCCGCAGCCCCTGGGCACACACGGAGGCCCCGGGACAGTGGGGTCACAGCCACGCCGTACCTGCACTCCACGACACTACAGCAACAGCTCCCGCTCCGCCGGCCCCAGCGCCGGGAGCGCAGCTCCGGCCTCGACTTCCTCAGGCTGAAGTACTCCGTCAGCTTCCCGAAGGAAGCCATGGCTCCCGCGGCGTCCGGGCACGCACCCGCCCGTGTCCCCGTGTCCCACCGCGCCCTGGCGCATGCTACACCCCTGTGCCCCGTCAGCCCATGGCACCGCGAGGGAGCGGGGCCACAGAGACACGGCTCAAGGCAGGAGAAGTTCAGCCAGGAATTCCTTGGACAGTCTGCAGTGGCTCCACAGTGATCCCTTGGATTCGGAGGGTACCAAGTCCTGGCCCCCTGAGGCAGCCGCAGGTGGCAGCTCCGAGCGGCCGGTGGCTCCACAGGTATTGAGTGCGACGCTGCAGAGCTTGGTTAAGCAGGAGGGGGAAAAATGAAGAGTGCCCGCTGGAAAGGATCCCTTGGGAGTGCTGGCACAGGTCTGTGAGCTCCCACAGCAAGTGACGCTGGGCAGGGGAGGAAGCTGCTCTCTGGAGCAGTGGCCAGGGTGGCTGTGGTGGCCCTCGGATGAGGGAGGGGATGCTGTTCGATTAGAGGTGATGAGAAACCCCAAGAAATCGGCTGTTCAGATGAATTTCCAAAGGGTCTGTTCCTACTGCGTGTGGCGACCAGGTGGAGAGGATCCTTGACTGCTCCTCCTGAGAAGAATCCCCGCTTGCTCTTCTTGAGGCTATTCAGAGTCCACTAGGTTTCCTCCCTCCCTGTTTTCCAAAGCAGAAGGCACCCTCAGCCTCCAGCAGCACCTACCTACCATGATTTTTCAGCCTGTCACCGAACACCTGAGTGCAAGGAGAGGGACAGACATTCAAAGCAAGCGAGACTGATCCAGTTAGAGATCACCTGCAGGCTCTGCTCCCCACGCTCCAGTACAAAGCCTTTCCACAGCAGACAGCAGACACAGGGACACTGCGAACCCAAAGGGAAATCCTCCTGCCAGCCCTCCCCAAGTCAGGAGCACTTGTCTCTGCATCCTCAGTGCCTGACGCCAGCTGGGCGGAGGAAAAACAAGGGCTTCAGAAAAAAAACCACCCAAACCTCGCTCCAGCCCCACGGAGCAGAGCCAGATGAAGTCAGTGAAGCATATCCAGGGAAGAGGTGTCTGACGGCGACTCCCAGCCACGCCAAGAGAGGCAACAAGGAAAACTGGTGCTAACTCAGCTGGCAAAGCCCCAAGCTACCTGCATGTCCTTTTATCCCTCCGGTGTGGATGCCATGTTAAAAAATAAACAACCCCTCATTCATTGCTGTCTCCCTGCTTAGATCTATCCCCTGCAAGCAGCCTGCTCACCACAAGGGATGGCCATCCACTGCCGAAAACCCTTCCCCAGCCCCAGCCCCGTTTCCCTCCCTCCTTCCCTTCCTTCCTTTTCCACTAGGCTCATGTTCAGCCTCTCGCTCGGAATTAAATGCCTGAGCAGCCTGGTGCGCCCCGCGGAGCACAACCCCACAGCCCCACGGCCACCCGGGCGGCCACCCCCGCCAGCTGCTTGTGACCCGCAGAGCCACCGTCCCCGCCCGCGCTTTTTGGGGGGGTAATTTGCTTGCAGCATCCCCGCTCGCTGCCTCCCGCTCCGCTGACATTCATCCCGGCACACGGAGCCAACCGGCACAGCCTCGCACACAAAGGGGGGGCTGGCGATGCTCCAGGGGGCCCCACGGCCACGGGGGACCCTCCAGCACCTCCACACGGTCCCTCGGCACGTAGTGCCTCCCGCTCACACACGGGGAGGGCAGAGCTAAGCCTCGCTCCTCTCTCCCAGCTGGGGAAATTAAAGCTGTTTACGCGCTGCTCCGCACTGCCACCCCCCTTGTCTCCCACCTTCTCCCTCCGATGGGCTCCACCGCTGCCGGGGAGGGGTCCAGGGCACTTCCCAAAATCGCTGGGTTTGTGGAGGGGGCAGAGCATCCGCTGGCTGGCTCCCTGCGGCACAGCGGGGGCCGGGAACACGGTCACCCCTCTTATCTCCCATCGGCTCTCCGTTACCGGGGGCCGTGAAATGCAACACGTCAAAGCAGGTCAGAGGAACCGGGCGAGAGCGAAGGGGGCTGGCGGGAGGCAGCGGGAAGCAGCCGAGGGGAGATCAGAGAAGGGGAGGCAGAAGGGGACAAACTCTTGTTTCCCAGCTATGGGAAAAGGCACAATGCCGGCTCTCCCGGGGGCGGCTGGGCTGAGGCACACACACACCTGGGGAGAAGGACGGCAGGGTCACCTGGCACAGGTGATGTTACCTGCTCCTGAGCCATGCCAAGGCAACAGGAGAGGGGCTGGATCGGGCAGCGGGAGGAGTGGAGAGGATGAGTAGAGTTAATTTGAATCCCCTCTTCTCCTTTTCCTCCCACCACCTGATGGGAGGGCAGAGGAGCAGCGATGTTGCCCCAGGGATCCTGCTTTGGCATTTGCAGAGCAGAATTGTTTGGGGACAAAAGAGCGATTTGGAAGACTGTAGAAAAACCAGCAGGAGGATTAGACAGATTGATGGACACAAAATCCAAGGAGCAAGCCAGCCTTCCCCAGCACTCCAGCTGCATGGGGGACAACCCTATGGCCAAGGGACACCCCACATTTCTGCAATAGGTAGGAGACACAGCTCTTGGCAGGGAGTCAGGCCTCCAGCAAGGCTGCAAATCTTAATCCATCTTGCATTGCCCAACAATGATGGCACTTGGAAAACAAACAGGAGGAACCTCTGCCTTCCTAAAATCCCATGTCTGGATAAACTGGGGGTGGTGGGATTGAAGATAATGCCTGAAAGCTCAGACAGCTCTATAAACACTCCCATCTGTGCCCAGAAAGTGATTCTCCAGAGGGGATTACTGCCCCAGAGACTCCCCAGTGTATCCCAGTCCCCTGAACCAGGCTGACTGGGACTCATCTGGCTGGAAGCACAACCAGCACTGGGGCAGACACAGCACAAGCTCACACATCTCTCCTTTGAGTTTTAGCCTCTGCTTTTCCTCTTGTGGCTTAGCGCAAGGTAAGGACTGCCTCCTTTCCCCAAGGACATGGAACAGCCCTCAGGCCCTTCCTTGCTCAAGGAATGGCTGGTCAGCCCTTCAGCAGGCCTGTCACAACAGCTGGCTCCCAGAGGAGCTCAGTGTCTCTTATGAAGCAGCAGAGGCAATCTGCTGAGATATTGCTGAGCCCTCTCTAATTTCACATTAACAAGCTGCTGTGCTGGGGTTTGCAGCCACGTCCTCAGTGATGCGACAGCTTCCCACTTTCACTTATCAGGGCAATGAAACGCTTTATAAGTGAAACAGTAGCTTAATTTGCAGGAGACATAAACTGATTTTTAAGAGGAGCTGTGGAGGAGACATTAAAGCAAAAATCAGCACCAGTAGGGTGCTGGGACTCTGTGCCAGGGGATGCAGAGCACGGCTGCACACAGCGCCCGAGACACTGGCACAGGCATCTCGCACCTCTGGCTGCAGCATTTGGGAGGAGGAAAATACCCCCACAAGTCAAACACAGCCTGGTTGTCTGGGTCCATCTCACACATTCCTGTACATCCACTGGTTCAGGCCCTAGAGACCAACATTCTCTGTTTCAAAACCCTCCAAACACAGTGAAGCTATCGCAGACGTGAGAACCGGCACCGGGCCCAGCTTGCAAACAACCACGATGATTTTCCAGGCTGAAATCATCACAGCTACCTCACAGCAAGTCAGACACCCCAGGTGTGAACTGGGAAGCAACTCTGCCAGGTCCTGTGCCCAGTCAGCATGGCAGGACAAGCCAGACAGCCTTGGAAGGTGGCCCTTGCACCATCCCCGGAGAACCCTCACAGCCCCCAGTCACTGTGCTCCTGAGCCTGGGGTAAGCAAACCAGGCCTAGTTACATCTCTGTGGCTTCCCCAAGCAGCTTTTACTCTGATTACACTTCCTAAGCATGGATAGGCAGAAGTAGAGAAGGAGGAAAAGGGGATTCTTTGGAGCTGACAGCTTCTCCATCTGCTCCTACAGTGCCAGAGGACTCCAGCCCTGTTTCTCCAGGGCTCCAGTTTCACTCCACACCCAGACCACTCAACACCAGTTAAACACAGCCACTCTCCAGCCTTGGCTCTTCTGGGGAGCTGCATCCCTAAGGGCCACTCAGCAGCTAAGGCAGAGCCCATCCTGCTCCTCCTTCAGCTGTGCTTCCAGCAGTTCATCCCTCACCCAGCACGGCACAGGGGATGCTCACCAGCACCCGACCTCCCCGTGTTTGGGGGAAGCAGGTAAGGCAGAGTTAAGCCATGCTGGGAGCAGCCACCCCACGTCTACAAGCAAAACCTTGCCTGGTTTGAGGCTCCCTTCCCACATGGCCCTTTCCCAGGCTGGCTGATACCTGGAGAGCAGCAACTGAGGTCTTCCAGCAGTGCGGAGGACAGAGTCCAGCAGGATGCATGAGTGCAGTCCTAGACAGCAGGTGGGACATCAAAGAAGTGACAACAGCAGAACAGTCCAGAAAAGCAGCCAGACTGGCCAAAGGAGGAGCCAGGGCCTGGGCAGTTCATCAGGAACAGAGCCTGGAGCAGAAGGCACTGCTGCCTACTGATCCCAGGATGTCCTGTGGCCTAAGGGGCCATTTCACGGTGAGGAAGGAGTGTGTGGGTAACCCAGTTCCAATCTGCTGTTGTCAGAGTCCCTCCTCATGAGAGAGAAAAATACCTGCTGAGATCTTCAAAACTGGGTGAGAGGAAGATTCCTAATCCCCAAGAACATCTGTGCCCTCAGGTCAGGTGAAAGAGGATTTCTCATGAAAAGGATTTCTCTCACTGCCAGCTGGGGAGGGACCGGCTTCTCCGAGTTACCTGGGAAGCACCATGAGGACTTCAAAGGAGTTTGGGATGGGACTTTTCCAAACTGCTGAAAATTGGTCACTGATGTCAGACATCAGCTCCCTGTCAAACCTCACATGGAGCCAATAATGAAGAAGTTTTACAATCATCATTTTTTTTAAGTAATAAGCACTAATTCTTCGGGGTTGGGAAATAAATTTCTTCCACTCTGTTTTAAATAACAGTGACTGGGGCCCTATTTTTCTCTGCCAGTTAACCCAGTGTACCAGGGAGCCATCAAATGTTGTGGGATAGCTATAAA